AACTAACAAACCGACTTTATAATTACAACGAAAACAAACGGGTTTCTTATTCGTATACATCTGATATATTTGATAATTTGTTCATATTCTTATTTCAGGCACCGCCGTGATGTTCCGAGCCTATGGCTTTGCCTGCTTGGTGATTCTTTTCATATTCATTATCATAAATCGGTACGTCAAAACGGATGGAATAAAGTACCAACAAGGCATTTTCCCTGACGAAGATCAAGCGACGCTAGGTGTTATTTAGCTTGAGGAACCTTAGACGAATTCACATGAAATTTGTCTACTTGTTTCAGCTCCACATGGCATTCCGATGAATGTCCCGTACTCACCGACCGAAGAGAAACTGGCAGATTCTTTCAGTGGAACAGGAAACTACGGTGCTACTGATCCAATGCAAGAAGCCTATGATCGTTACGTGCACGAACCATATGACAAACCAGTCAGATTTGAACAACTTCCCGATAAACTAAGTACTAACTATCATAAGTTCTAGTAACAATCATGTTTCTATATAAAAAAAAATGTTTCAGTCTTCATGATGTAGTTACCTCTGGCGCAAAGGAACAGTCTATGATGCAAATCCGAAGATTCCTAGAAAATAGCAGGCCACAGTAAAGACAGATAAGTCCGACTGAACGGTGCCATTTCCACCCCTGGAGATGACTGAGCCGAGACAACAGCAGTCAAGCTGCATGCTGGCCTAATGGTCAATCGCTATCGTGCTTCGACTACGAACAAGAAGCTCATAGGCTTGAATCAGTGATTCATGCTTAAACAGGGCCGGACTCCATTTCTTAATCTTCACATCTACTGAAGTCTCGTGTGCCAACAACAGAATCGAGTCATTCAATACATGACCCTGCCATTTAAAACTCGACGCAGTTCAGCCGTTGCGTCGTTCTTCCTCTTTCGTTAGAGCAACTGTCTCCATGCCGTATAACAGCACTGACCTTAGGGAAGCAAAAAAAGGCGAGGTACAGGTGGTTTTTCTGTGGTAAAAGACTCTCTCATGTCAACCCAAATATTAGACGGGCTTCAAGAAGTATTCATGGCATGGACAATCCTCCATTAACCTTGGCTCAATGGTGCCATCTTTGGTGATTAAGGAGCCGAGATGACTAAACAGGCAACCAATGTTGAATTACCGCAAAATTTATCTATCATCGAAAATGATTCATCCTTCAAAGTGATAGCTTATCGAAATCCCATACTACCACCGATAAATATAGCGATATTTTCCATCAACTTTCTTCATATAAAAAATGAAAAAAATATACCCTGATTTTTGCTGTTCGTATTTTAGGACAGAGATGAACCACTCACCGAATGAAAATGATTGCGTAAGAAGATAGCTCTGAAGCAATATTCATCTCTCCACGTAAAATCATTTGTATAAAATGCTATTCCTGATTCATTATGTCGCTATTATTTGCAAACCCTTGTGAAAACTAAATAAACTTACCTTTGGAGATTTTTGATGGCGTTCAAAGCGTAAAACTTTGTACTCAAAGTTTTCATTGAGATTAAATTGCAGTAATTGAGCAAGATGAGTCATTAAAACATCACTTAAATTAGTCATCGCTTGCACTGCAATTTTGTAGCGAACGATAACAGCTCGGTTATACTGCAAAGGCAGCATACACTAGTTTACTTCGCCTGCAAAAGGCCATTTCGTTAGGACCTGCCAAAAATTACAGATGAGTGGTTGCAGAGGGTCAAGAGTAGCATTGTTTATAAGAATACCGAATTGACACTTCATCGCACGTTGACTTTTACGTATACAAGTGCACAAATTGGAGTGCTTCATCTCTTGGTTGAAGCGAACTGAAAAGTACAATAGAGACCTCGTCCCATCTGAACACAAGTGTGTCGAATGCTATGCAAATTTCAGTCGAATTAGTTGTACAGTGCACATAGATATGGCATGATTAAAGCCAAGGTAATCATATGGTGAAAGTATATAGAAAAGTAAACACTATGACTCAAAGACCGGCGAGGCTCTGTACTTGAATGGCACAAATTTTTTCTTGTGATATCTCTGTGCGTTAAGGAAAAGCGCGTTTTTAAGTTCCAAGACCTCCTCTACTTTAAATAAAGAATTTGTCCATTGTTTGGAAGATTGTTTTTATTGATTTTATGTGCTGCACCTATGATCATCACCACGAACCGTTTACATAAGCACGACGTCTGTGATTTCTAATGTCCACTGTGTTCGCAGTTTCACAATACCAATATGCCATATGTCATAAGTCACCGGTTGCTCATCGCAGAATGAAATATTCATCCGTGAAAGCATATCTGCCTCAACTTTGTTTTTTCAGACTGCATGCTGGCAATCCAGCCGAGATCTGCTGTTTTGGATCCCGAACGAGAGCTACAGTAAACGGTTTCTGCTAAACCAGTTAATGTAACAGGGTTCTTCGTTTCCTAATCTTTATGATTATTCAAGTCATCTGTGTTTGGAAATAATGGAGTCAATCTTAACGTAGTCCTGTCGTTTAGTCATTTAACCCTCATAACGCCTCTGAGCCAACACTGCTGCAGGTAGTTCAACCGTAAAACAATTCTTGCTTATTCATTAACACAACTGTTTCCATGCCGTAAAATAACACAGGCGTTATAC